AAGATCTGTAACTCAAACAATTAAGCATCTCAGGATTATCTTTCATGTTATTTAACATTGTTAATAAAAATATTTGTAGACTGGTACAAGTCTCCTACCTTGAGGTACTTGACTAGTTTTTGTATCTGCCAGTACTCTGAAGGTAGGTCAGCATTGGACTCTTGTCGTCTGTCAAGTGTCTCTTCCTCTTCTTCACTTTCTGATGAGCTTTCACTAAAGTCCTCCTCCTCCTGTGCTGGAGTCTTGGGTTTTCTATCACCATGGCCACTGTGTCAATTAAACAATGTGGTTATCCTTAGTCCAAATCATATGAATTCATTTTATTTTAATAATAAAATTATTGGTTTAAATAAATTACTTCTAATATTTTGTAATGAACCAATGTGAACATTTTACAACTACAGAAGGATACATTTATAATATCCATATACATGTGTGTCAATAAACATTTTAAAAGTCTGTACAAAATACTTCTGGTCTTTTTTCTCCAAGCATGCCATGTTTTGTTAGTGTCAATGTTGGTATGTACTGATTTGATGGGAATCGCAGTTTTCACATCAGTGACCTTTTCAATGCCATTGTCAATTTCTGTCAACATCTAAAAATTGTCCTGTTTGAAAGTTTTACCAAAAATCAATAGCCAAATAAATATTTGTTTGCAAATTAATGTTTAAATTTGTGAAAATTACATAAAAAATGAAAATATTTCTACGTCTATTTTGATTAAAAAATTATGTTATAAAGATTAAGTCATATATGACATTTTTGCCATAGAAGGCACCCTTTCATCCAAAAATTAAAATGGTGCTTTTGATGTATAAGATCACCAGAAACTTTGCCCCAATGTTAATATTATTATTATTATCATATGAGTTTACTAGTTACATACATTGCTTACTCCATTGTTCCCCAGGTTGTTAGCCACAGCTAGACTATGCATTAGAGCATTAATAAAGCATGCAGTAACAAAACTGGTAAAGAAACAAAAAATCTCTCAACCTTTTCCGCGAATACCTCTTTTCTTTAACAACTTTCTTCTTTTTTTCTTTTTCTTTATCCTTTTTTTCTTTTTGCTGCTTCTCCTCCTCTTCCATGTTTGCCATTCCCAAGTTTTTCCATTTCAGTGATGGTTCTAGCTTTTGCTGTCCGGTGTTCTTCTTTTTGGATTTCTTTGTTGTCTGCAGAAATACAAATCAATCAAAATTGAGATTTTTTAATCTGATTTGTTGTATCACACAACATAGATATGTAATTTTATTGTGTTGCTTAA